TGGCATTCTGTAATTACCCTGCATGTGTCGTGGCAAGCTGCCAATTATAGCACTATAAAGTAGTAGGATGTTGCTGAAACTCAGAGGTTTGCCCCAGTCAGGTAGTGGCCACACATCCAGGAAAGCGTTAGACGGCCGTTTCGTCCTGCTGCATTTTGTCAACAGTGCGCACCTTTTCTGAAACCTGCTGAATTTGAAAATGAAACGCATTACTTAAGAGTCATTTATTTAAGACGCTGTGCCACAAGCGACAACTGTGAAACGCCATAACTGACAATTAGCCGCAATATATCACGGCTCCTCCTCATTGCTTTCGCGTCACTGCCTTATAGACTATATGAGTGCTCTCAAATATTTGACTTTCCCCATAAGCTGACAGCTTTTGTATGTCATTACAAATCAGCTCGGGTACGTTAGAGATTAAGCAAAGTAACACGTGTAAAAATTGTGCCCTTTTCGAGTAATTTAGGGAATATGTGTATATAATACTTGAACAGAATCAGTACAAATTGGCAGTGTCGAACATATCAAAAATACAATAGGTCAAAGAGAGACGATGGGGAGTGGGGTCTCAAAATATATCCATGGTCTTAGTACCGATTCTTAGGGCGCACCACGATGGATTCCAATTGGGTCGGAAATGGAGCTGCGTACTCCTACATTCAGCTGACATTGAATGAGGTAGTTGCCTATCCAACCCAGCAGAGGATCACCGATTCCATAGCTTCGAAACTTGTGAAAGAGAATGTGGTAGTCCAAGCAATGGGACGTTTTAACGAAGTTCAAATAAACGACGTCGATTCCTAGTCTGGCATGCACTGATTCTGTCCAGCTCGCTCGGGTTAGAAAAAAGTTTGCATTGCAAGACCGATTTCGGCGGAACTCGTGCTGCTGTGTTGCTGCTCTCTAGATATCCCGCGAGCCCCTCTGCGGTAATAGCCTCTATTAGTTTGGATAACTGGACGCAGAGTGATCGGACGGTAGTTCGAGGGCTCCGCACGAGTACCAGTTCTGTAAATTGGAGTGACTAGTCCATGTTCACATTGTGGGGACCTGTATTTCATCGAGACACCATTGCAAAAACCGAGCTAACAATTCGGTGATATTCATGGTGACTGTCTTTAATGCCATCGGTCCTGTGTCGTTCATGCCAGGGACGCTGTGCAAGCGCAAAGACAATAGCCTTTCCTTTACATTTACTGCAGTAAGGGATATGTGGCTTAACACTGGGGCGGCGTGGGCTGTGTAAAATGCGGGTAAGATAACGATTCCCTATGGAAAGTGCGGGTTAACTGTTACCGAAGCGCGCAGGGTGACTCACAAGTAACTGGCTCTAGGCCATCTGCTGCACGTAGAACTGGGATTTCGCGTTACACACTGCAGAGCTTATTGAAGTGCTCGTACATTTTAAGGTTAGTGTTGAATTCCATCACCGAATCTTGTCAGCACTTGTGTTTATCTTGGCGGACCGATTTGATGCAATGATTTACAGGCGCACTAGCCTGAATCCCTTTAGGCAACGCATCTCGATTCCGACTCCTCCGGAAGCACTTTGTTTGCTACCAGCGAAAAACCTTGCTTTCCGACGCATTTGTCCCTAGCCCGGTTAACTGAGTGACAAACTCTCCAGGAGACATCGAGAAGCAGCTCAGCTAGGGAAGACTAGTTGGTTGCTGGAACGTGTTCAGATGCTATGTCGTAATGTGTGACGACGTGAGTTTCTTTGCCGTTTTCTTTTACAGATGTATTCCGCGTAGTAGATCCAACAGTAGAGTAGCGCCGTACGATTGCTATGGTCAAGCAGTGAATCTATATTTGGTGTTGATCATTAGATCCTGGTTGGTAAGTACAAGGTCGAAAATAGATGGGACGTCACCTGGTCTGAATAGTGTGGGAGAGAGGATATGGTTGTATAACTGTAAATCGACGATTAGTCCTTGCACATTCGCCTTGAATTGCTCGCTAAGGAAGCTGGAACTTCGACTGCGTGCGAACTGAATTCACTCATTAGAAGGATATGACCGTGTCAGAACTCGCGCCAGACTAGAAGCGAGACGGTAATCCTTTTTCAAAATGGCAAACTATTCCTATGAAACACGAATCGCCACATTTCAGATGCAGACGGCATCAAAGAGAATCGACAAGTTGCTTTTCTGAATAGTCGATAATACCGATATGTAGGTCAGATCGGTAATAAACAATAGTAATAAATAATAATATAAATCCTCCTCCTCTGTTGGATCGATCGTTCTGTAGGGGAATAGTGCCGAGCAGAGCTAAGTCAGCATCAGTGATCTCCGCATTCAACCATGTTTCGATTATCACGACGATGTCCCGAAGCGTTGAAACCTGACAAGCTAGGTTAATGAGAGAACCTTGCGCGTGTGTACACAAGCAGTTGAGAGCCCCAAAGTTAGAAGTGCATTTGTGGATGCAGATTTCAGATGTGAGTTTATGATTACGATGGTGGAGTCAATAGCCAGCCGGTATTTGTTGAACCTCCGACACAGGCTTCGGGGCCATTCGCAGACTGGTATGTAAAATGGTCAGTGCCAGAAAGTGGTTGATAACCCGGACCACCTTCAGCTGTTTGAGTGTTTTGGTAGTGTCCCGGTTCTAAGCTAATGCTGATGGACCTGTTTTGGTATTTTCATCATGTCTGCCTGTGGTCTGGTGTCTATCGCCTTTAACGTATCTCGGTTGGAATCATTTTGCGCCACATTCCGACCGCCTTTTCTGGTATACGTTTGGAGTTCAATGTTAATCTCATCACTCGGAGATCGCCCTAAATGTGGTTGGTTGATAACTTTAACCTTGAGGCCGAATTGGGAAATACGTTTTCGTGAGAGAGCACTTGATGGATGAAGCGTCATACATCTCAGTCATGTCTTTAGGTCTCTAACGCCCTTGTAGTCTGAAGGCCGGAAACACCGTGGAGAAGGAGTGATTTTACATCTGTTTGTTCCGGGCAGTTCATCCCAAGGAAAATCCGGAATAATGCAAAAAATGCATGGAGTAGTTCGGAGATCAGTGGCTGACAGCAGAACAGCTTGTGCATCGTCACCTTACTGATCGCTATTTGGAGTAGCCATTGTCCACCAGAGTGTACTAAGATTGGATGACGGACGAGGCGAATCATACTGGTCGGTTTAACTTGGACCCCTATTGTTTGACACAGACCTAAAGAGGTAGACTACGTTCGACTTCGCAGTCTTCGAAATTTGACTAATGTCTGGTGAAAACACCACGTGAGAATGAACGTGCTCGGCGTCGCGTATTTGGTGCAGGAAGAGCGAGTGAACCGTTCAGCACCGCTATATCACGTATCAGACTCCGATGGCTGGGCCATGTGTTGCGCACATGACCACACCGAATCCCGCATCGTGCGTTGTTTGCGCATCCGGGGTCCGGATGGAAGAACAGAAGGGGAGGCCAAGCGATGACTTGGTAATAAGGAATGAAGGCCCTCACTTCGGACTTGACGTTGGTTAGCGTCTCTTGACTGCTAGGCTGTGGTCGTAAGGACGATGAACACCCTTGGTTAGATACACTAGTTGGTATAGCAAAGAGCTGACCTCCTTGGCGTTTGTGTTGTGGGTGACTTCGTCTATCCGCTTCCCACTTAGCTTCCCCTTGTAACAACGATTTCGCACCGCATGGACAATATGACATTTAGCATTATACTACTTGCTTCTTAGTTTTCGTATTCTGTAATGTTTAGTATCGCACTCTTCATATATCTTATCTCCTGGATACAGTTAGTTGAAGTGTGGTTCCCAACTTCATGTAATGTGTAATGATGATGATGATGCAGTTTTGACCGAGTTTGCCTAAGATTTAAGCACATTAGAGACATAACACTCAGACCATTACAATGCTGTCTGGTGTTCTCCTTTTCGGAGAAGTGTGTGGTTGCTTTTTTTGATTGGACAACAGATGGCATCCTAAGCTTCGTGGTAGTATCGGCAGCACTAACGGTACCTAGTTTGAAAGAAGTCAATACCGCGATGGAGGTTACATCTGTCATGTAGGTGACAACAACGGACGCGTATGTTGTCAGTCCTACAAAGGTATTCGATGTAACGCGGGGATTTGAGGAAGCATGCAATATCAACATCATTAGGCGCACCCTGTAGTATCGGGCTGCTTAATTCTTGATCACTGCCCGTACGTCCGGCCCAGTTACTCTGTACTGATTTGGAGTTTGATGTTGGGTATCAGGTTCAAGACATTGATTCGTCTGGGTCCAAATGAAGGTAGAGTTGCATTCACAAAGTAGCAGGTTTATTTCATTGACTTGGCTACATTGTAAGTCCCGCGTTAGATGTACGGTGAAAACTGTGAGTGAGCGCAATTATGGAGACTACTATTGATTAAAGTGAAACGTTGCGAGATTACCAAGCACTTTGAAGGAGTGACAAGTGAGCTAAAAGAGAGACTTAGACAGACCGATTGACAGTTTTTCGTCGGTGATTAAGTGCTAACTGTCTACGATAAGATAGGTAGCTTAGAAAAGACGTAGCGAATGTCACATTCTTGGAAGAAGCCGGGAATGACGTAGAGTTGCCGAGGCGGGTACTGCTGATGATCTGATGTGCAAACAAAACCATGGGGGTGGTTGATCATACCGGAGAATACCAGCGATAATGGAAAACACATTTGCGAAGAGATCTCTTCCTGATACCTCTCACCGAGCAATTATATTTGTAAGAATAAATGAAACAATGGTATAGTAATAGAAGCAGGACTGAAAATGGTTGAGCGGTGATTAGTTAGATGGGACTAGCATATTTGTTGGGAACTTAAGTTGATCGAGTCAGTATATATTGAAGTGACAGTCGAGAAAGCGGGAAGTCTTATTTAAATGTGAAATATGGCAGTAAAAAGATCAGTGAAGTGACCGATCCATCAGTTAGCTGGAACTTGGTGAGAAAAGTCGTGTGTAAACAATGAAAGACAAATGTTATAATGAATTGTCTCTAAAATATGTATACATTTCAGCTACAGTCGCGTTGACCTTTGAAAACGCCACACTACTTGTGGATGGCCCTTTGAAAAAACCGCGGCAGAAGTCAAAATGCAAACACTGAGGGACAAAGTTTACGTTCCTGTTTATGCAGCCAAACGAACGGCAGTACCGGGGATCAAAATAACCATTATAGGTGCAGGAGCAGTCGGCATGGCTACCGCGTTTAGTTTGTTGACCAAAGTACACACAAAGATTAGGTCACAATGAGCTCTTAAGGGAATACCAACGGAGTTGGCGATTGTCGATCTGAATGTGGAAAAGGTGGAGGCTGAGGTTAGTGATTTACAGAACGCTCGGCAGTTCCTACCGAAAGTAGCCATCTACGGTGGATCAAGTAAGAGAATTCGATATCTGTGTTCAACCTTTCAAGATTACAAATTATCTTCAAACTCCAACATAGCCATATTAAGCGCTGGAGTGGATAAAAGGGAGAACGAAAATCAACTGAGTCATGTTCAACGAAATGTGGACGCGTTGAAAAGTACAATATTTTCTCATTGTGATTGCTACCGCCAGCCATTATACCACATATAGTGGAAAACAGCCCGAAGTGCATTATAATCGTTTTGACCAAACCAGGTAAGCTGTTGCATTTGGCCGCTAACCAGTCCAGTGGATGTACTCGCCTACGTCGCATGGAGGATAAGTGGATTTCCCAGGAACCGCGTCCTAGGTCTAGGGACACTACTGGACTCGTCAAAATTTTGTAACGCCATTAGCGGAAAGCTCGGACTCTCACCTGATGCTGTCAGTGGATATGTTTTGGGAGAACAAGGCGAGAAAGCAGGTACGAGATGAGCAAGAAGGATACATTCCTACTTAGTGCCCATATGGAGCTCGGTAACGTGTGCAGGACTGAAATTAAGGAGCATATATCCTGAAATCGGTACGCCGGATGACAAAGAAGGATACAACAAGATTCCACAGGAGCTCGTAGAAAAGTAGTTCAGTTTGCAGTGTGGTTGTAGTGAAATTTCTTAGCGAGCGCTCAATAAACAGGGGAAAAGGTGCTAATGCATGGGCTGTTGGTCTAGCGACCAGTATGATATGTGAAGCATTGCTCACGGATGCAAACTCCATATTTCCCATCTCTACGCATGCCAAGGTAAGGTTCATATGAGGAAATTTGTGATCACTCATTGTATTCCGTTTCAGCACGAAGGAAAATTAGTGGTAAGTTGAAGAGAACTGATCACAAACTATAATGTGATACCCAATATTGGGTGAGTCAGTGTATAAGCACAGTCTGTTCACTTAATAAGGACCGCAACAATTTGACCGAATAACTGAAAGTAAGGCTTTTTATTGGGGGTGCTTTATTTTTCCTCACTGAGAGACGAGTTGGGAAGATGCCAGGGACTGTAGTTAAGTTAGCAATATTGCTGGATCTATGCAGAAACCTGAGGGATAAAATTGAGGCAACACGAAAACTGATCATGTTAAGTGCCAACGATAACGGGACTGAACAGTAGCCAATCGACACCCATAAAATACCATGGAAATCAAAACTATACAGCTAGCAGTACTCTCATGCTAAACAGACCACTAGCTATCCCCAGTAGAGGAACTTAAACCAGCTCTTCGGTTTGCCATTCAGGTAAAAGACGGTACTGTATGCACGACAGAACGCTCAACCCGGAACACGAAGTATATATATATATATATATATATATATATATATATATATATATATATATATATATATATATATATATATATATATATATATATATATTCACAGTCTGTTAGCAGACAACGCGCCATCAGAACCATGGCAGAAGAAAATAAGTGGAAAAGATACGAATACGAACTGCGATTAAAAAACGTTCTGTGATAAAATGCATGTCGAAGTTAGACAAAATGTGAAGATGGAGCAATCTTGGTGAACACCACCACTTATCGGTGGAAGAGTGCGTGACAATTCGCCACATATCCTGACGCGGCCTATAGTGTTCGAGTACATGGCAAGTAGAACGTTCGCATATTTCATAGGAACACTTTCCTTAGTCAAATGCACTCTTGGAATGGAGAAGTACGATTATAATGGGCATGCAGTACGTGTGATGTTGCTTTAGCACCTGCCACAGAGCGATTATGTGGTTTGTACTGTCCCATCCTGGAAGGAAATCGGACTGCGCTAGTAAATACATCACTACTGCTGTCAGGCTGATACCTCGGTGCTTAACATAGTCAGCGCGATTGAGGTTGCCACAGTTGGGAGGGTACAGCGATAAATGTCAGTTGCTCACGCGCGTTCGCAGTCACGAAACAAACAGACAACTATAGGCTATCACGGCTAAGCCATGTGCTTGCCTCAGTGCGTTCGATCGAGTGAGCCTTTAAAATGCAGCTGACTGTACCAAAACTACAGAATGGTGAATAGAAAGTTTGTGTGTTTATCCGGTGTGTCTTCTTTCTTTTGACGCGGCTTGGAGACCCAGGCACGCAACAGCCACTATGATCCATTCATTTAGGTTGGCTGAAGTGGTCTCTTCTTTCTGCAATTGTTCGGTGAAGTGAGTTTGCACTTCTCTGAGGATTTAGCCATTGTTAAATGTCAGGTGTGCAAGAAATTCCGGAGAGGTAGAGCAAAAGCGGTTGATACAACTCAAACCTCAGCCCCCGTTGGAGACTTTAAACTAACCGGCAGTGGTTCAACTTGAACCACCTGGGCATAGATGGACTCAGAAAGAAGGGTCCAACTGAACTGCCCCCAGAATCGTCGTGCACAATGATCCAGACAGCAGCTCTTCTGGTAAATTAATGCGCATGTGATGCCCGCGATTGTTACACTGACACGTAAGCTCTTGGAACAAGTGATTTGGATCAGCTGAGACAGACTGGGGTAGTTGCCCACCATCCCGGTCTCCTCCATTTCCTCAACTTTTCGAGTCCACCAGGCTTACTTGTCAGCATGGAAGTCCAGTTTTAGCTGGCGCCAAATGGTACGTCTGATTAGATTGCGTTCGATGCCGGTAGAAGATTTGCGTTCGAATCCAACCAGGTTCACTAGCATCTCAGAAATCCAGTGACAGTGATTGATGGTGCTTCAGCAATCATGCACGTAGTCGAGATACTAATCTATTGAAGCCCGATGTCTTTGGGGTAAGAAGAAAGTGGTGTGCAGGGCATTCGGGTAGTTTTGCTCAAGGGAGGGTTCGGACAACATGTCTGCCGCCAAAGGTGATCCATTTCGGACTATCAATCACTGATGTTCCGCTGATCGTGAGTTAAGAAGACAAGTAAACAGTATTGAATTTGGACACCGCCCATGCTCCGTGGGAGCGCATCATGCAAATGCGCATTAAAGAATGGGTAGATCCTAAGTAGGTGCTCCAGCTGGACCGCAGTGTTGCATTAGCATCGGTCAACTGTAGTTGATGACAATGTGACTCGGAACAAGTATCGTCCAATGAGGAGCAGGTGCTTCGGTAGTGGGTAGGATCATCGGACATGTCGTCAAAGAACTCAGGTCGCACACCTTAATCAGCACTGCATTCGTGTTTAGCAGCCCACGATAAACACAGAGAGGGAACATGGTAGTGGTATTAATTACAAAGGAGTAGTATGGTCGTTTCATCTCTTCGGGGGACATCAGCAGTGCGTATTCCAGCTGGCCTTTGTGGGGCTCGAACCGACAATTAAACTGTTGCATCCGTGGTTTAAAAAAACCGCTGAGCTACGGAGGAGAGTAACGACCGATGTGACTGTTAACGGATGAGATACAGCGCCGCGCATAATCCCCACAAGAGTCAGATGGAATGTGCCCCGCTGACGATGACCGATAAGTGATATCACTGGACAGGATGCGGACGCCAGGCAATCTCAGAGAATATAAAGGAGTGAATATCTGTTGTTCCGTATCTCGTAGAGGAATGTAATGCAATAACTGTACTGCGGCCAGATGTAGCCAAGTAAGTCAAGACAAAGAAAACAGAATGGTAGAATTCGGGCGAAAGTCACTCCTGTGTTGTAACCAAGCAGGTGTTATTGATAGTCCGGTCAGTTCACTGATAAACAAACTATGAATTTAACCTATGGTATTTCTTCTAGGGTCTACAAGGAGTTGACAAGGACATATTCTTCAGTTTACCATGCATCGTAAATACTAACGGAGTCCGAGGAATAATGTTGCAACAGCTGGACGACGATGAGAAGGAAAAATTATTTGTGAGCGCAAAAAAGATGGAAGAACTCCTACAAAGTATTGAATGGTAAACCACCACCTCCCGGGAAACAAAACGACGAACAGTACAATGGTATTGGTTTATTCTTATCAGATGTGTGTACAACTGTCGCTTCCCGGTGAATCATGCTTTTCTTTTGCTGAAACAATACAAATAAGAGAAGCTGAATTTAGTGACAATGGACAGCAAGAAATTGACTAAAGAATTGCGTACAATCAAATTGGACGGAAAAGTGAGTACAACGACAATGCTGAAGGCTTAGCTGAACAGTTCAGTGTGGATGATGAAATTCAGTGATCTAAACTAAGGCATTTCAAACGGTGTGGTAGAATGGCGGACCCACAAACACGCACACACACTGGTTGAGTATAAAATGAGAATGGGACACATAGAGTAACCGAATGACCCGGAGAAAAACTAACACGGATTGCTAGCAATCAGTATAAGTGAACAGTAGGAATGGTACAGTGTCAGGTGTAGACCTACATCAAAGTAGAAGGAACTCCCATCAGAAACCGCGTTGAATATGGGTCAGACGTGTGTAAGGGGATGGCAACATATAAATGATCACATAAGTGTTGTTTCCCATGGGATCGGCATAGATTGGTGTCCATCGCACAAGACAACGCGACTGGTGTGAGCGATCAAAGTCGTGCAAATGCAGCAGCAGACAACCGAGTTCTTTACATGGAACAACATCTTAAAAATGATCGAAATTGCTATCGAACAAACCCGAACAGTCACCAAAAGTTACTCGACGTATTGGCATTGTTCAAGCGTTGATAGGCTCATAAACACTGAACAAAGAATGTTAGTTGAATTTACAATGAACGTAAGCATTTACACTCTATACTTTGTTTTGCTGAGGCTGTTAACCTGACGCCATAAAGTCACAACATTAGCTTGTAAATCATGACGGCCTGTCGCTGTCCCCATGACACAGTGGTATAAGCTGCTGGCTGGTGGTCGTAGGCTCGGATCCTGGTGAGGCCGTCCAGCGTTTTTCAGGGTAGGTGGAGGACTAGTTGACTAGAAAGCTACTGCGAAGAAACCCCAACAAGTTACTTTGAATGCACCGGGAGAATGGAGATGACTTGATGACCCCAATAGGATGCAAACACAATATACAATATATATTTGTAGGTGTAGTGAGAAACGGGAATCAATAAGAACAACGGAACACAAACGTAGCCTGTAAAACACAGAGGCCGTGACGAAGTGTGAACTATGAAAGGCGCAAAGCGTCAAGCATTATGAACCTGTCCATCACTACTGTTTTCCTCAACAGCATGTAGTGAGTATCACCGTCATTGGCAGAGGCAGCATAAACATCAAAAACAATAATGCCTCAGATCTCGATACTGCTGCTTCTCCACTACCAGATAACCAATAAGTGAGATGCGAACTTGGTGATATTGCTAGTGCATCCTAAAACTAAACGGTAAGAGATGCTCATCATTGATTGGCTAACATACATGGCGAACCAATGATAGGCGAATGTTGCGCCAACTCTGTCCGATGTTTCAACCTTGTGGATTGCGAGTTAGAGGGAGTCTATGGTAAACCATAACACGAACCCGATAGCGCTACAAAAGTAAAAACGCTTGCGAGCTAGCTGCTTGGGTAGATAGTTCATCAACGTACAATACCGAAAAAAGGTAATAGTTTCAGTCGAAATCAAAACATATCACCGGGGATCTAAGGTACCTAATAACTACTTTACAAAAAAAGCTAAGTCCACTAAGAAACGGTTGATTGCCGTGCATAGGAAAGGTGATAACGGGGAGATAAGGTTTTGGTGCCTAACGCTACCCTTTACCGTAACTACACCTCGGGTAAACGAGTGTAGTTTAAAAACACAGTCGTATCAGCAACAGACGACAGTCAAGTCGCAGTTGGCTTCGGGCCAATTAAGTAGTGGGATACTCGCATCCAATCCCTGCCGCGAATCACGATTTGCATGAGGCAAATTATGGTAAACTAGATTGTGTGTACTGATCCAAAGACAACGCTTAGTTTACGGACGAAACAATGCACGTTGAAACGTTGAGACAAACGCTGTCAGCGAAATTATAAGGTCTGGATGAGGGTATCCAGCGACAAGAACTACGTCTTGATTCAGCTTGCAGCGGAGAATTCCCAAGTGACAAGCTCAAATAAGACAAAACCGGCTGTCAGATGTAGAGTTGAGAGAGGATAACATAACAGGCGAATATACTTGACGTACATTGCCAGCTTGAATGAGACTGAGGGGACGAGAACATCAAAAGGACCAGTTAGTTGTTGCCTAGGGGAATTGCAACGAATCAAGCGAAACGAATGGTGATGGATGCGGACATAGTTTCATTAAACAGGAGCGTACGGATGCGTGGGCTTCGTTCGCCTTCATGTACTAAAGATGAATTGCGAGCATCAAAAAATTCAAAATCTTAAAAAGGCGAAGACAAAACAAGAGTAGGAATAGATAAACTACTCGACCAGTGGGTACAGCACTATCTGATGGATACAAGGCGAAACGTTATTATCTCCAATAGGAATTAAAGGGCCGAGACACATTGACACCTGTTTGTTTGTAAATGCTAGGTCGGATCACACGTACCCATCCAGTGGCATATGATTTCGGACAAGGTAGTTGTAGTGAAAAGAGTTATAGGAAGTTTCAGCGCTATCGCACAAAAGGTATTTTCTGCAGCAGTAGTTGCTATTCTATGTGAGTACTTAAGGCCCTAAAGCGAACCCAAAGAATAAGGTGGAACACGAACAGAAAAAAATGGATTGGGAGAAAAGTGAATAAAATTGATTAGGGTGTAATTCTAACGTCCAGATGCATGGGGCCGAATCCAGGATTGCTGCTGATTGCGCAAATGTACCATGTTAAACAGGTTGTCCAACCGCTAGTCTGATCCATGCTGAGGTCCTTATCCCCGAAAATGACGAGTATCAACCTAATCAAGTCTCATCACCATTATTTTCACCTCGTTCTGCCAAGTTATCGACTATTTACCCCAGTTTCGCCCAATTCTAGGTACGGGGACAGCGCGTAATGCACACGGAGGAAGACAGCCAACGGGTATACGAAGGACTAACGTAATCAACGACCCAAGTTTAACAAACAGTGGTGCGACACCAGTAGGTTTCTTGCCAAAATCAACTGCAAAATATATTATCATTGCTCACTCCGTGTTTCCATTTGATGCCAGCAATACGATGAACTCCTCCCAAAACAATTTCTCGGTGCTGTGGCCGTCTCAGAGGATACTCAACGGCTCCCTGTTTCCTGAATCGAGCCTTCCCGCCTTCATAGTTCCCTACTTATGGCTTTGCATCCACATTTTCCCAATTCGAATTCATTTTTATCCCCCTGTTTTCAACCCCCCATTCTTGGCCCTCCACCTTCTTGCTTCCATACCCATTTGCCCTCTAGTTTCGACTCACACGTGATTGCAGGGCGTCGCTCCAGCCCAGTATACAAGTCCATGTCTAACCAAGGGGACAAGGTCAATTAATCCGTTTCTATTTGGAACCCTCGATCCTCGCTAAGACTAGCATGCCATAACTTGCGCAGTTTATTGCAGATCGGTGAACAGATAACACTTTTCGAACAGTAAAGACCCCATCGATCGATATAGGCTGTCTATTGGAAACCCGACTGCAAGATTTGAGCTCTGTGTTCACTCTGCGATCCTCTTCATGTGACATTTCACTGGGAATAGCGTAGCGCTGAATGTCAGTCTGAGCAATGCTCTAAGTCCCCAGGCTGAAGCTACCCCGTTGGATTAGGTCCCAATCAATAGCTATTTGAGATTTAACAAAGATTTTAGTGCGACACCAGAGGGTTCCTCGACAAACAAGAACTGCTGGACTTCAATACCGCTTAGTTGAAGTATCCACCAAGCGCCAGGAAGTATCAAGTGTTGCACAGTATCGTTAGAAAGTAATATACGATAATTGAACAACAAACACAGGGGTTCTGGACACACTTAATATCCAAATAATGATGCCCAAATGCAAAATGTGATCTGTGAGGTGAGGTGAACACAGGTACCTAAGATGCAACAACTCCGAGAAAAAGCTGGCAAGGCGATAACTTACGCGTCTGCGGTGCGACGTTTCTCCGTGAGTTGTCGCACTTCTTTTTCTTTCCGCTTGATCGAATGCACCATCTTCTTATAGGCATTACGGTGCTTCTTCGGAAGCAGCATCTCCCGCATTTTCCGTTGCTGGTTTGCCTCGGCCCGTTTCTGATTCGCCTTGGCATTATCACTTTCGAGACGACCGGGAATGATCACCGGTTCCTCGCCTATGGGAAGCGGACAGAAAAGGTTCAGAATGACTTAGAGTATCGAAGAAAGTGAATAGTGCATCAAGAAGAAATAACAAAGCTGTAAGATTCGAAACGAATGTAAAAAAGACGCAGTGAGCTCGGGCAGATTCAGTGCAATCTCAGAATGTCGAAGCGATGCTGAAACACCGCAGGATACGAGACAATTTTTATTGGTAGTGTAAAAGAAACAAGGACAGACCGGAACCGGAAGTCCAGAGGGTGCCAAAGTCCAAGAGAAAATTAATAGGAATGATTACAGTAATATGAGTGGAATTTTCAAAAAAGCCAGTGTACTGCTTGGTAACAGGTCGGGGATAAATTAAACGGCTCGACCGAAAGGGTTTCCGTGCATAACTAGAAGCATTTGTGCAAGTAATGACAAAAAATATTTAAGCAGTTGAAAGGAACCGATGAAACTTCCAGTTCTGCGCACATGGTCACCGTATTGTGTTTTGAAATGAATAAGCAATCGTAAACGTTTTGCCCGTGCCATCAGTTGGCACATAATTCCGTTTCGTAGGATCAAGGCTCCGAAAGGTGAACTACAAATTGTTGTAAAATATATCCACACGGCACACCGGCTGCAAACAGATCCCCAGGAAACTTTACAGTCGCACTACCATGGTCGCACTTGCTCTCCACTGCCTTGTGGGTTGGCCTACAGTGTCAAAGGATGCGCGTGGAGAAAAGCTTTCAAGCTACTATCTTGTGGGTTAAGCTATTGAGTCAAAGATTGGAGGCAAGATAATCCGAACAAAATCCCTTTCTTGGAAGCGACAGCCAAAGAGTATCAACTACACATATGACATCGTCCATACTAAACAGAAAGTGTCATCGGATGACGGGGTAAAAGCGATGGTTGGGAATATGTTTAGAGAATAACGAGCGAAAACAACGAGAAGTGGTAACACAACCAGCGAAGAGCAGAAAAGGTGCAGGGAGAAAAAAGGACCCAAAAACCGGCGATAAACATTTTCTCCCGCGACATAAATAGTGAAGAACAGGTGCGACACCCTACAAGCTTCAGCCTGGAAACAACACAAATATGAGCGACCAATGAGTTAATCCCAAGCAGATAAGACAACAATTGTGTATGAACCACAAGTACCTTTGCCGAGCTTCTTAAGCGCCTCACTTCGAGCAGATTTTGTAGCTCGTTTCTTGGTCGGCTTTTCAGCATTCGCATCAGGTGAATCGGAGTGTTCTGAGTCGGAAGTTGAGGATGGCCGCTTAAGCGATCCGGCATTCTTCGCATCAGGTACATCCGCATGAGCCCTGATAGCATCACCACGCAACTCCGCGAGGCTAACCAAACCAGCAAGGTAATCGGCTTCGGGTGGACGGTACAGGGCAGCACCCTCGCCATATCCTGGTGCCACTCCAGTTAGATTGCCTCTCTGACTTAAAGTCAACTCAGGCAAACCGGTCAGTGACTCTTGAAGTCCGGATCCAGAAACGAAAGGACTGAGATGGGGTGGTAGGGAAACTCCGGGAAGATAATCCTGAGCGGGAAGCAAACGTCCGGCATTTAGACTGTCGAAAACCCATTGAGGCTGGACGTAGTATCTGTAACAATTCGGGACAAATGTTTGTATTAGGGTAAGATGAAACCGGTTCAAACCGTTCGCCTTAAGGATAGTAAAAGACAAGTGTAGGGTACTGAATCAGAAACAACACTTGTGTTCAAAACACGTGTAAAATGCACGCATAGAAACGTATTGTCCAACGAACGGAAAAGCATAAAATTGTTCGAAAAACAGAACGGTTATGTGTGACTGCGACAGTTGGACAGTGGTTGAATGCACTAAGCTTTGCATGAAAAGTATAGGCAGAGAGTACAAAGACGGTGGATGACACGCACCTAGAAATTGGATTCATTTTACACCAACAGTACAAAAGGTATATCGAGCCTTTCGGTCAAACAAGTCAATGCAGAGTGGCATTGCTTAGGGATCAAGTACCACACATAATAATTAGTTAAAGAAACAAGCAAGTGATAACACATAATAGGATGTCGATGCAAATGATTCCACGCACGCACAACGAAAAGCTTGAATACGAAACCCATTGTGATGACGCTGTAGTGTTACTTCGTGAATGGCAATCTAGACTGCCATAGCATCCATCAATTGATCTGAGTAAATGCTCAATCGATCCCAGTCACAGTGGGCGATCGGTTCAAATGCAATTGGAAGCTAGGAAACACTTGATCTGTGATCCAACAACACATCGGATCAACCGATTCGCAGTCCCATTGATTCAACGAACTGGTTCGATATCCAGTTCGATATCCAACAATAATAAAATTGTCGTTGCTGCTGAAAGGAATAATCTGGGCCTGGGCCTAAGTAACGGAACAAATTAACAGGCAGCCAGGTTGGAGAGACGCAAGTCCAGGGGAACATAAATGCACTTGAAACTGCCGTGTCTACTAGTCAAACCCAACTCTGACATGTAGCAGAGCATGCAAAAAGGATAATGCTGTCTCTCTGTATAACGAATCATTGCTCAAGTTGGAAGCTTATCCTACCTATCGGAGTATGAAGATTTATGCAGAGCCCATGGTGGCGCATCAGCAATTCGCACAGGTGATTTGCCGCCTAAAATTAACCTGCTAATGAGGAATGAAGATAGAGGAGGAGAGTTGATTGTTTCAAAGCACAAATGGTTGAGACTAACACTTTGGAACAACAACGTGCATTCACTAAAATCTGACCTCCGTGAAAGGATAAGGTGGCTTCCTAGCGGCCCACAGTATTTTGCGTTGTAATCGGCTTCACTCCACAGACAACTCAGAACCATAACCATCCTTAACAGATCAGATTAAGGGAAGATTTCAAACGTGTAACCGGCACAAAGTGCAGGCAGGCCATTTGCCGAGGCAAAGGTAATTTCAGCTATCTATCGGTGGCTTGCATGAACCTTTTGGTGCTATGCCACCGCTGAGTTAACACAGACGCGCAAAACTCTTGCACCAAGAGATGAGACGTCTGCCTTCTAGTCCGAATACCGCAGGTTCCAGTATGCATATGTGCGCCCGATCCCACAGTACCCCTAGCCCATGTATGATTGGTGATCGTCGTGCGGGAGTGAAGCATCGGTGCGGTGCACCGGGACACTGCTGAGGCCAGCCTCTAGGAAGCGGTAGGTAGCACTACGAACGGTAGTATAGAGATGCCTTTATGGGCGAAACGCAAACCAAGCAGTGCGCCGTTTTAGGACGGCGTGTTTACACACAAACTCATGATGACTTCGTAGTATAAAAAACGAATGTGATACTACGTTGCAATACTGCAAGCACCAAGTAGCTGAGGTTAGCGATGCAGAAGGCTTTGGAAAGGTAATGCAAATGTGAGTGCAAGAGACGTCGAATACGGTTGCTTTTGGTTCAACTTCAGTATGGTGGAAAGATGAGGATGTGCGGGTTGAAGACTAGAAACTGTTTCCTCACACGAAGGAAGTCGTTCTCAACCGTTCCAAATGCAGTAGACTTTAAGTACGTAGTAGAAAACCAAAGAGGGAGGACATCAGCAACACATCGGTACTCCGTGCCGACTTTTCGCTGCCACACAACCAAGAGCGACTGCAGGGGTACTACTGCAAGGTCGCCCGCCCCTACGTAGCGTTGAATCGGTGATACGCGGACCATAGACCAGATTCCTAAACCACTCAGATAATCATCGTTAGGTCCCAACAGCTAGTACACATTTATTGCAGGGCGAAACTCAACTCTTCCTCTGAGCACTGTGGAATGACTGGAACTAATAAGTTGACAATTTTATCACAACTGAAGGTCGGCTGTCGCCGAAACTGAATAGCGTCGAGGCACAACGGGAACATTTGATTAATTCTTGATGGCGCAGTAACAAACACCAAAGCACTCTGTGGTCGCTCATGTTTAAAGAGCAGCACGGACAAGAGGTTCTACTCTTCTCGTCTCATCCAGACTAGTATGCAACCAAATGTGCGGGTCTCCCAGTGAGTGGTTGGAGGAACAATAAAAACGAACTACATCATGCCCAATGCGTACCGGCTGGTGCGTTAACAAGAACATCATTCTTCAGTTGATAAAAGCTATATGCTGCTGAAAGTTATGTAAGGTACAAAATGTTAGAGCCGTGACAGTTGGAAGCAGAGGTGTAACAAAGCGACATTCGATGTGATAGGCCACCGCTTCGAGAAACGAGTACAGCAAATAATGGGCGCGGAAATTAAACCGAAAGCAGACTCGAAAACGAATTGACTTAGGGTAGATTCATTTGCTCCTGGGTGTGACGGATGATTCCAGGTAAAGGAACGGTAAATAGTACGATAACCAAATCCGCAGAACAAAGGATGGGTAGATACACAACGGAATCAACCTAGAAATGGAAAACCAAGAAAAGCATGTAGGAATAATTGGGGTCCCCAGGACGTTTGCTATCTTGGGGCCAAGTGAAAAAGTAGGCTTGTCAAATAGGTCCGAAGTAGATACTCAAATGAGGCACACATCACCCAAGCTATCCACAAAGGATAACAAATGTGCCCCGTGGGATATTCGGAGATTCTTAGGATGGTAAATCTGGTCATATGGAGTTAAAACACAGTAGCTATTGCACACGGTGGGGTGGAACCGTATCCAATGTAATCCGGTAAACAGAACTACCAGCTGAGTAGTTGGGGTTTTCCTGTTCTAGCAAATGGTTCGTCGAAAGTGTTCCAGGACGCGATGGGTTTTTGTCCAACAAGCGTTCTTCGTACAAAAGCCACACACATCCGTGGAGGATGTGACTGACAACTAAATAAAGTCACTGCCTCTTGTTTCACTCTGGTGGAGTATTGTATTCCAGCAACATGATGTAACTATGGAGAAGACTGGGCCCATGTTTGGTAACCGACCAAACGAAAGGCATATGGACTGAACAATCAGCCACCGGCTCGTAATGGGTGTGATTCCCTGACACCTAAACTGCCTTGCGGGTAGGCTATTCAGCCAAAGGCTCGGGGTGCTATCCCCTTGGGCAACCGGACAATATCATGTTTTCTGAAGAAACTATGGATTTCGCTGTGTTGTTTTCGGTTTTCTTTTTACAACTGTCTTCATTTTATTTCGATGTTTTTTGATGGTAAATCCGGAGCCGGATGCCGCCAACCATGTCTATTCGTAAACTGCTGAAAATACGTAATCCAGCCAAGGTTCAACTGGTAAGACACTTTGGACAATGTGTTATAAAGATGATAACTGCAACGACGGAGTTCGCGTAAGTCAACTTGTCAACACAATCGTGGGGAAGTGGAGGAAACGACATAATGGAGACAAAGCCCCATCCCCATGAAAATGAAGCCTACCGGTGACCGATCGGCTTAGGCTTCTAACCCACAGGTCATCAGGGACGAGCCTGCGTGCAGGTGCCGGTGACCTAGTAGTGTTCCTAAATCGCGCCTGATCGTTGGGAGCCGCGTGGCAATGAAGCGGCGGTGCGGCGCCCTAAAGTACTGCTGATGCCCCCAATCCGCACAATGCGATGTGCAATAACTGTGAACCCCCTCCCCCATCAGACTAGCCCATTTCGATGGTGATAACGCAGCAATATGAAGGTGGTGTTAGACTGAAGCTAAACAGTGATGGTGGAAGACTGAGACAGTGGAAATTACGCATCTGGATTTTAAGTAAGTTAGTGTGAAGAGATGGGCAACGTATTGGACGAATCTCATGGACTGGAAGGAGAAGCTACGAAGAGGGACTATGCCTAACATTAATGCTCACTTTGTAACTTTCATTTCAATAACTGGACGATCCACAATTTGGTAATCTATGCTAGGATCATCCTCGTCGAAAGTGGAGCCAGGGCCAACTGTTTTGTCCCAAGAACACTCGCCTCCGCAGGAACGAACGATTAAACAGATAACCTCTCGAGGAACCTCGCGCATCAGGAAGACGCGCTTGCCCCGGAATAAATTGCGACAACGTTGATCGCTCAACTGCTTGTCTACTGCCTTGGAAACTTGATCGTCGATTGCCTGCAGAAAAAGGTGTCAGAAAATCACGATAAATTGGCAAGATAGACAAGGAGATAGGTGATGCACTCATCATCATCACCATCAGCAGCAGCAGCAACAGTCATTTGAACCGTGTTTCACTGCCACACAATCACGATGACCTACGGAAAGAAGATTGATGAAAGATAAAAAGGGCCCAGCGTGAAACCTTAGTGCCCTAAGCAAACATTCGATGTTAAGGTATCTACACCTTAACAACATGCCGTCAGAAAGGTTATCATGCAAAGATGAAGTGGCATCGGCGAGATAATCTGCTGGCGGCTTTCAGTGCCACATGTCATAATCAACCAGTACCCGCAGACAAGTCAGCACCAAACACACACTAAACAAGAAGTCCGACTACGAGGCGACAACGGACGCGCCATTGGTACGGACTGTGATGGGGGCTGAAAATGCTGTAATGCCGATCGAACGTCACAGGCCAGACCGATAAGGAGTGAGCATGTTGACGGAAGCAGATTGGTCAGCCAATCAGGAAATAGTTGGCCTGCAATCGCGTCCACCCTGAAACTATCCACTGAACGTACAAGTGACCAATCAGGCGCCAGAAGACGAAGGAGCGCATACTCGTGCACCCTTGAGTCAAGGCTTGTGGCACTGGACCGAGGAAAGAAGCGCACGGGCCCAATTCCGCCAATCGTACATCCACTAAGAAAGTCAAGGCGATTTTAAAAAGTGAATGTGGCGAGCAAGCATAAACCAATGGAAAAGGAGCCAGCGACACAATGCAAAGAACAGGGATAAGCCATTGAGACGGACTGTTTTAAATAGTGTATATACTCTATAGGGAATCGAAGGCGGTTGATCGGAGTGCATGGCGCTATCTGATCACGAAGGAAGTTGCCGAGTTGCAGGAGAAAGCCCTCATGCATGCGGAGAAGAAGCAGCAAGTGCGGAAGCGGCAAGCACCGATGGGTTGTACTCCATCGACGTCAAGCGCATGGTGCTGTAGCACATGCGGTCGCGAGTGCCTCAGTCAGGCAGGCTTAGTGAGCCATGAGCGAGGCCACTCGGGACCACTACAGAAGCGACGACGGGTCCTGCAGAGAACGTAGGCAAAACTGGCGCAGCGTTTGTAGGTACGCTGCATTCGATTTACTAACCGTGGGAGCTGTGTTTCTGCTGACGGCACTATCAACAAAGAAGTTTCTCTTCGTATCGCTAAAGCTCGATCGGCATTTGTCAATCTGAGGCACTTGTGGCGTCGTCGCGACGTCTCATTCTCACTAAAGGGCCGTGTTTACAGCGTATCTGTTCGCTCAATATTGTTGTATGGGTGCGAGTCCTGACCGATTCGCGTGGAAGACATGCGTCGTCTTTCTGCCTTCGATAACGGTTGCTTAAGGAGGATCGCGCGTGTTTGGTGGCAACATCGAGTTAATAGTAATGACGTTCGACGTCGCATCTTGGGGAATGCGAGTATTCCCTTCAACAAACTGGTTTTGTTGCGCCAGTTAAGATGGCTCGGTCACGTCCTACGCATGGCACCTGAGCGTCTACCGCGTCGAGCTCTATTCGCTCGTCAAGGACCTGGATGGAGGCGACCGCGTGGCGGTCAGCCTTCCACTTGGCGGCAGCACATGAAATCGCTGACGTCGTGTCTAGCCGCTGCAGGATCTGTACGTCTTCCAGGATAGGGACCCAAAGATGAGGAGTGCCAATGGCTTAGCACTCTTGAAGATATGGCCCGCAACCGGAATCAATGGAAGAATTGTGTACAGTATTGTATTGATTCACATGTTTAAATCTACAAACATTAAAATGACAAAAAAGAACAAAAGCGGCGTGTTAAAAACAAACTAAAAATGTTTTGTTCTACTTTTTATCAAAATGTTCCATTCTTCCTGCGGCATATTAGTTGAAGTGTGTTGCTCACCTTCAACTAGCATGACACGATGATTATGACGCCATGAATCTTGCTTATCTCCTTATCTCCATGGTTTTAGGCTGGCTGTGTCTAGATAATAGACTGTTGAGAATACATACATACATATACATTTACTAACCGCGTGCTTGCCTGATAAGTCTGTTGGTTTCAGGTGGTGGGTTTTCAATTTTGTCCCAATGCTTTTCTTTATCATATAAATGTCTACCTGTACTCTCTTCTATAAACTTGCGCACGTCACTTAAGCCAATTTTAGTCAATTTCGATAACATTTTCGTGTCTGCGGCATTTCCGTAAAGTATACGTTCCTACCTCGTGAACTTATCTCGCATTCTTCTGTAAACAACTTACTTCATATGCTCATTACTTTAAGATATGTCGCTCTTTCCTTATGCATTACTCGATTTATTTTCTTTGTTATCTTCCGCTTAAGTGATTGGCTGTTGCTTGATATCCCCGGTGTGGCTGCATTTGATGTGCATGTTGACAAGGTGCCTACCTGTCTACTGCCCACTACCTCGTCCATACTGGCTCTAGGAGACAGCTGGTCGTTGCTGGAGGGGACGGGGTGCACGGTCCTTGTGGCCGTGCTAGGCTCGAAGAGTGGTTCTATGCAATCAGTGTGGAGCGTACTATGGTACAGCCACCGTCTTGTGTGCACTTGATTCCCCAAATAAAGCGTGCTTGTGTTTGCCTGTGAAGGAGTGTGGGCAGGCTCCGTTGATGAAACGTGGCTCCCATCCACATGCCTCCCGGTCTTATTCCTTCGGGTTTACACTGGATATGGGGTGTGTGGTTGGAGCTATGGGTGGTGCAGCGCAAGCCACTCATGGTCCCTCTGTAGGCGCAGACGAGCTGTGTCTGGCCACAGTGACAGGCAAATCCGAAACCGGATGCCGCCAACCATATACCCTATAAATATTCAAGCGTAATCTTAATAAACGACTTCGTGATCGCGGCCGTCTTCTTGCTTCCCGGAGGGTTACACGACATGGCGACAGAGGAGAAGCCGACGCGCCGGAACCCACTCGCTTTTGGTGGACAGTCGGCGATCACACTGCCGACCACTCTGCAGATGACTGAAATCATGCTGCCAGAGAACTGGAGAATGTGGAAGGCGAAGTGGAGGGATTTCGTCACCCTGACCCAGGTGGATACTCAACCAATGCCGTACCAGTTGGCGATGTTTAGGCACGCTGTGGATGATGAAGCCAGGAGGGTGCTCGAAACATTGGAGCTCAGTGAGGCAGGTGAGGAAGTCGAACTTTCGGAAGTGCTGAGAAGATTCGGGGCGTTTTGCGAAGGACAGGTAAATGAAACGTAGTTATTTTTTGTTCGCGGTCGATCCCCAAGCGAATCGTTCGAGACTTATATAACAGAATTGAAACTGTTGGCACGTAACTGCAACTTTGCAATTGCATGCGAGACTCCTTGATACGTGATCGTATTGTCATTGGCGTAAAGAATGGTGAGCTCACTCGGCGACTTCTGAGACAAAGGAACCTGTCGTTGGAACAATGTGTGGACGTCTGCTTGAGTGAAGCAAGGACGGTGTAGCAGTTCGAGCATGTGAGAGCCGAAACAAACACCGATCTGGGCGCGGTATTCCGAACCAGCAATAGTCCGCCCCAGACACCCGAAGGACAGGGTCCGAGTTATCAGTTTTGCGGTCGTGTACATCCAAGAAGGAGAGCTGCCCAGCTTGGGGTCGAACGTGCACAAAATGTTCCAAGAAGAACCATTTTTCCAGCTGTTGCAGATCCGCTAACGCCAGCCCAGTAGTCGAGAGCATCAACAAACAGTTACAAGAATTTTCGATAAGCAACTTGGAAAATCGTCGGGAACACAAGTGCGTTTTCGCGACGCTTTTGATTCGAGGACGACCTGCGCGCTTCCAACTGGACTCTGGAAATACTGCCAACATCCTACCTAAGAAGCACTGTGTGGGAATGACATGTGACAGGACGCAGAATGGCCTCAGAATGTGGAATGGTTTAAAGCTGCTGCCGAAAGGTACCGCCACGTTGAAGGCCGTTAATCCGAAAAACGGCACAGAACACCAACTCGATTTCCTGATAGTCTCAGGAGACCTTATGCCCATTCTGGGTATTGATACTACTCCGAGTCTCGGTTTTGTCTCTTTTAAACATGAAAATTTCGTCCATTCGTGTGAAGATAACAGAGATATTGTTGACAGCTACCCAAGCGTGTTTGACGGGGTCGTAGGGAGATTCGAAGGGTGTGCTCATTTATCTTTAATCGAATCCGCTAAGCCGGTAGTGTTGCCGACCAGAAAGATGGCTATAGCCTTACGTGAGAAATTTTTAGACGAGCTACAGCGCCTGTCATCATGTTTTGTGCCTTGGTTCCCCAGCCGCGTCAAAAGAAAGAGTCACACCACTCTGCGTACAAATGTTCTATACGCAACGCCGAGGCAAAGTACAACAAGCTGTATGTTCAAAAACCTACTCGTCTGCTCGATCGATCGCCTGATCGACCGCACTGAGGCAGGCGATTCTAATCGTCCCAGCTTTCAGCTACCATCACACCGACTGCGAACAAAATACACGGCGAGTCAGGTGGACTCGTTTTGTAAGCCATCATCCCTCTACCACCTTAACTTTCGCTCACCTGGAGCCTTGCACCACCATATATATGACAAACAAGACAACGTCATTCTCGGTAAGCAGTGGCCGGGCATACGTAGCAAGTGCCCAAGCCAACACAACTTATTCAGTGCTGTCAACTGCTCTAAGGAACTAGTCTGATTATCACTGCTTAGCACTCGACTATGTACATCACCGTTGCGCACATGCTGAAGCCATTTGACACTACCAGCTGTTCGCAGGAAGCGATGATCAAAGACTGGAAGGCGCTTCAGAGCCTCAGATCAGAGGAGCTAAGTCTCAGTACAAGAGAGTAGGACGGCACCCACTGTCGTCATGTAAGCACAGCCTTTCAAAGCGAGAGAAACCGCCTTCCGATGCCACAGAATCAAGAAGGCTGTTCTAGTTTTTTCAGTGGTTATGCGCTTGTCGTTGCTAACGCAGCTATCGAGGTAGATGAATTGATCGAG